CCAGATACAGCTCGCAATAAATTTAATACTTTTTTGCATTTTGTTTCCACTTGATTAATATGCATTTTCCATGTGTATTTGCTATCAAACCACAGTCCTAGGTATTTGAACTCATTCACCTTTGTCATTGGACGGTCATATAGTGTTAGCTGTTGGCCATCAATCTTGCGTTTATTTGTAAATACCATGTAGCATGACTTGCTTTCTGACATTTTGAATCTCCAGTTATATGACCACCTCTCCACTTTTTTAATCGCTGTAGCTATATTCTCCATTACGTATGGGGCATTTCTTCCCCTCATCCAAATAGCCCCATCATCTGCGTATAGAGCCGATTGGATGCATGTGTCTAAGCATGTCAATATATCATTAATCATGATGTTAAATAATATCTGACTGACTGCACTCCCTTGGGGAATACCATTTTCTATTTCTAAATAATTGGAAATATCTGCTCCAACCTTTACTCTAAATGTCCTGTCTGTTAAAAAGGCCCTTACCCAATTGTACATACTCCCTCCAATACCCATTCTACTCAATTTGATCAGTAACCCATCCCTCCACATGAGTCATACGCCTTTGCAATGTCAAAGTACACTATTGCCATTATCTCTTTCATTTTCAATGTTTTTTCCACATCATTACTCACTCTTACTAAAGCATCTATTGTGGACCGCCCTTTACGAAATCCGCTCTGAAAACTACTCAGCAGCCCTTTCTGCTCCAGTACATGTGAGAGCCTACGGACAATGATCTTTTCCATCCATTTACATAGGTGTGATGTAAGAGCTATTGGTCTGTAGTTACTAGGGTTAGCTGTATCTTTCCCTGGCTTATTGAATGGTAGCACGACTGCTGTTTTCCACAAACTTGGCATATCTCCTTCTCTCCAGATTTTATTGAAAAGACTCAGCACCATTGTCATAGTTTCCATAGGCAACTGTTTAAACATAGCATAACATAGCTGGTCTTGTCCTGGGGCTGTATAACCTGTACCTTGTAAGGCTATTTTGAGTTCTGACATTGTAAATTCCACATCAAGAGCTGACCTATTATCCTGTCTCTTCTCCTTCACGTTTTCATTCTCTGCTAGTAACTGCTGTTTTTGCTGCCTATGAATATCACTGAGATGTTCCCCGCTATGTACTGCTGCAAGTGTCCTTCCTAACATGTCTGCCTTCTCTTTATCTGTCACTGCCAGCCTCTCCCCATCAACCAAAGCTGGAATTGTAATGGATTTCCTTTTCCCACTCATCCGCTTAAACATGGACCAGACATCACCTAATTTTACTCCTCTGCCAATGGTAGAACAAAATTCTCTCCATGTTCTTTTTTTTGTGTATTTGATTGTCCTTCGAGCAGCTGCCCTTTTCCTTTGCAACTCTATAACATTATTTTGTGTAATGTTTTTCTTTAATTCTCTAAATGCATTATTTCGCTCTTTAATAGCCCTGCTGCATTCCTCATTCCACCATGGCACCACTTTCTTCCTACCCTTGGTTGTTGTTTTGGGTATACTGTTCTCTGCTGCATTTAGAATATGTTGCGTTATTTGGCTTGTAATGACCTCTATGCTTCCCTCTGATGTTAGCAGGTGTACCGACTCCTCACACCATATCCTAAATTTCCCCCAATCAGCTTTAGCAAAGCACCACCTGGTTATTGCACGTCCTTCCTGTATATATACATTAGTATTCATTTTAGTAAGCACTGGATAATGGTCACTTCCTACTGTGGAGTTATTCAAAACAAACTATTCGCATGTATGAACCAAACAGTTTGACACTAATGTCAGATCCAGGCATGAGACTTTCCCCCTGTGTACATCTACTCTTGTGCCATGTCCATCATTAAGGCATACTAGTGTTCTTTCCTCCAGCATTTCTTCCACTATATTTCCGTTACTGTCTGCATGGTTGCTGCCCCATAGACTGTTGTGTGCATTGAAATCACCACACCAAACTTCCTTCCTATGTTTATTGCCTGCTATTTCTTTAAATATATCAGTGGTTAGATTTTTACATGGGTTGTATAAATTGATTATCCTAATGTTATCTTGTTTCCTAGGGTTGCAGATTTCCACTATAATACACTCTATATCATCAGGAGATTGCACCTCCCTATATGCCACACCATCTTTGAGAAACGTGGCACACCCTCCACCATTTTGATTATTATCTCTATCATGCCTTATACAGCTAAATCCTGGAATGACAAAGTCTAATTGAGGTCGTAACCAGGTTTCTTGCACACATATTACCTCAGGGACTACCTCTAGATCATATATATATTTCTTGAATTCTTGACCATTAGCTATGAGGCTTCTTGCGTTCCACTGTAGTATGTGCAGCACCATGATTAAGGATCTAACCCTCATCCTGGTTTTCATTTTCCCCAGCTACATTTATAGTTAGCATTGCATGTATCTGATCTGCTTTAATATCTTTCATGTCAAGGAATTTTCCAGCTGCCTCCACAATGGCTTTGATTCTATCACTTTTCTTTTTTAACTGCAATGCAACATTTACAGTATGGCATATAAATACCACAAAATTCACCTTTTTCACTCCTAAAACATCATCATCCTCTTTACTCTTGGTGGCGCTGTGGGGTTGGATTTGAAGATTACTTTTTGGTGTGTTCCTGACATTTTGTATTGTAATGCTCTGCTCCATTCCACTAGGGGTCTTATTGATTGTTACTGTCCCCCTTACTTTCTTTATTGCTTCTGCGTATGAAACTTTGTTTGTAATCTTAACTCTCTGCACCTCTCCGGCCTCTCTCTGCACTTCACAACCTCCAAACGCAGCACTGTGATCTCCTCCGCAGTTACAACATTTAACCTTTGCATCCTTTTCACATTTACCATACTCATGTTTTCCTCCGCATCTCGCACACCTTAGCTGTCCTTTACACTGCTGCGCTGTGTGCCCCATTCGTTGACATGCGTAGCACCTGAGAGGTTTGGGGATGTACTCCCTAACCATGAAGTTCAAATATCCCATTTGTACTGCCTTAGGTAAGATTCTCTCAAACTGAATGAGAACTGATAATGTTTCTTTGAGTGTACCATCCCGTTTGCTTTTAAGCCTTGTGACTTCCACTATTTTGCCTCCTTTTAATTCACTTTTCACATCTTCCATTGACATGTCCAATGGTACTCCTGAGATTACTCCTCTCAGTTTTGCCATTGCTCCTTGAACATGCGCCTTCATTTTCTCCCCATTCAGTGAGTTCATTCCCAGAATCTTTTCCTGCTGCTGTTTGTTATTGGCATGTATCAATACCCGCTTATTGTTCATGAATTTAGCAAATTTAATTTTTCCAATCTCTTTTTCAATTGCTTTGGTAAGTTTAATCGGGTGGTAGTGCCCACCATCCTGATTGAATTCTATTACCACTTTCCACTCGTGTTCTATTTCTTTATTCAACATTGCTTGGCTGTCATTTTGACTGACTCTTGATTTTTTGTTTTGCTTAGCCTCGTCTGCTTCACCCGACCAATCCGACCAACTTCGAGCTCTTACTGAACTATCTCTTTGTCTCAAAGATCTTTTCTTCTTCGCAGCTTTGGATATCATCCATTCCATATTGTTTCTTTGGCTACCATCTGAGCTGGTTGACATGATGAAACACTCAATGTACAGTTTAAGCAAATCCGCCAAAATAACAGTCCAATGCTACCGTTTCTGTATGTATCCGAATTTCCGATTCTCTGTGAACTTTCTGCCACGCGTCTCCAACTTCACTTCCTTCTTCCGGCCGCCGCGCACGTCCTTAACTTTCGTTTCCTGAGTGTGACGTGTAAGCTCTCCTCTTTCCACTGTAGCTCCTCCTCTCACTGCAGCTGGTTTGTTCCCTCCCTCTGATCAACAAGGTTTTCTCTGATAGTTAGGGAGCAAAGTTTCTGCTTCACAGGTGTGTCACGCTGTTTCTTATCTTCATTATGATCAAGTTTTACTTAAATCAGAAGAGTTCAGTTACATTTATTGGACACACATGTCAGTAAAATGTAATGGATGACATAATCCACATCCATACAACAAGTACAATATGTATCCACTCTAAATCAGAAATCTATATACAATCAAATAAACTAAAGGCCTTTTAGACATTGAATATGTAACATTAGTGGTCATGATAACAAGGAAGAAGAGTGTTTTCTCTCAGGCAGCATCCCTTATGGATCATTATGGCATTTTGTTGCCTGAATTAAAGCAATCATATTATCCTGTTCTCACTTTTTCCTCGTGAGATATTGGGTCTCGATTGATGAGGTTGTTGCCTAATGCTGAAACATAACAACATGTTAAATGTCCTCATTAAGCTAAGAAATAAAGAGACAGTAGAGAATGATATCCCCCAGTGATTAAACCACTTAAATCAAGGTTACTTTACATTTTAAAGGAGCAGTTAAAGCCTTGAACAAAATAAAAATCTTGCTGTTTAACAGGAAGTTGTTAAATCCATTTCTTGGTGAATCATCTGTGGTTTTTAATTTGTATTTCTTTGTGTCTCTGTCGCAGGAAGGAGAAAGCAGCAGGTAGCCACAGACCGGGCGGGCATGGCAAAGGTGAGCACAAACAGTCCTTATCGTGTTGTAACGCTTCCTCTTATCTCCTGTCAATCATTTACAGTGTGCTTCATAGTAAGAGGAAAATTGTTAAGTTGCAAAATATATACAAATATTTCTTAGTTTCTCAAATATATGAAACATTTTACCTGAGGAAATCTCTGTGCAAACATCTCTGTATATTATTTACCATATTATTGTTGTTGTTGTTGTTGTTATATCACTGATATTTAGTTTTTCTCTTTGAAACTTATAAATTCAAGAATTCCATATTCCATTCAGATTATGTACCAACATTAATTATTATTATTATTGTAGTTATTATTATTGTAGTTATTATTGTTATTAGTAGTAGTATGATAATACAATTATTATTATTATTATTATTATTGTATTAGAAAAAATATATTATTGAATTATTATTATTATGTATATAATACATAATACCGCTGAGGCGGTGCAGAAGTTCTTCCTGGAGGAGATCCAGCTGGGGGAGGAGCTGCTGGCTCAGGGTAACACACACACACACACACACACACACACACACACACACACACACACACACACACACACACACACACACACACACACACACACACACACACACACACACACACACACACCTCCATACACACACCTCCACGCACGCACACACAGCTATTGGCTAGCGCTCCAACACATCGTACATGAAAGGCTAAGGGGCGGGACATCTCTTAGCGTTTGACCAATCACAGCAGAGCCAGCCAGCTAACCAATCAGAGCAGACTGGGCTCTGGTTTCAGACAGAGGGTGAAAAGAGGCTTTTTGAACATTAAAGCATGGAGACATGTCCCAGTAGAGACACTACATACTGATATGAACCTGAATATGAGCACAAAATGGCCCCTTTAATAACAATGTTGAGATACTTGTACTTGAGGTAGTTGTACTTAAGTAATACTTTAGTATTTTTAGTTTTGTTTTACAAAGTGTTACTCTTTAAATAACAAAAACACATTAACTTACATCATATGATGCAGTACTGTAATGGCTCCATAATGACAAACTACAACTTTGGAAAAAACATTATGCTGATAATACTTGTTACTTAATTAACATTTTGAATGCATGACTATTTTTAGGCTGGCTTATTAAGTGAAGTGTCTGAGTACTTCCCTCACCTCTGTCTCCTCTCCACAGGAGACTATGAGAAAGGCGTGGACCACCTGACCAACGCCATCGCAGTGTGTGGGCAGCCCCAGCAGCTGCTGCAGGTGTTGCAGCAGACTCTGCCTCCACCCGTCTTCCAGATGCTGCTCACCAAACTGCCCAGCATCAGCCAGGTAGCACAACTCTTACACAAAGTCAAACTGCTGCTGTTGCACCAGGTATCACATGTTGCTGCTGAGATAAGGTGCTTTGTAGGCAATAATTTGAGCTGTGCAGTTTATTTTCTTAGGTTTCATCAATTAAAAGAAAAAGGAATAATGTTCTTACATCTTCTCTTGCCTTGGTAACAAATATATATTTTATTTCTCCACATGTCTACCAATAAACACCAAATCCCCCGTTTCCACCTTCAATCGAAAACATAAACAAATACTCTACATTAATTAATTAAAATGACACTAAATACAAATTAAATGTGATATTTTATATGTTTAACTATTAAATACTACAAAATTATAAATGGCTCCAACACTGTTTTTGGATCTCCATTAATCTTCCTGTTCTCAAAGCATTACAACATTTTTAAATTCAGACAGTTTTAAATAACACAAGGAAAAATAAAAAAGCCAATATGGAGAACAGGAGAGAGAAACTCCCTATGGAGGAAACTTTGGGATTTTAGCCTCACAAGACCATTTACATGCACTAAAACCTATAGAACACACTACAGGAGAGACATACTTCCACCACTAATTAAACTTAAAAAAAAAAATCTGTATAAAATATAAAACAAAAACACTTCCCTGACTCTCCATCTTCATCCTGATTGGTTACTTCCTCTCTGTTAACGCTTGTTGTTTCCTGTCCTTCAGCGTATCGTGAGTGCACAGAGTCTGAGCGAGGACGATATAGAATGAGAGGATCGAAAGGAAACAACCCTTCCTCATCTTCAATCTCCTCCTCTTCCTCATGTGGACCCCTCCTCTCATGGCGACCTGCCAAAGCCTCGGCCTCCATCACTCCGGCCGACGTCCATCACTTCCCATCGACGTGTCCTCTAGGGAATTAGTTTTTTATTCCAGCTTTAACCATGACAGTAGCGTCTGTTTGTTTTTTTTACTTAAATTACCCGTTTTGGGGTATGAAGAGTTTCCTTATCATAACTGCCAGAGAATTAAAAGCGCCCGTCCCCACTCCACCACGGTTAATGATAAACTGGACTGGGTGGTGGTGTCGCTCACATCATGTTTCAGGTTTACACTGATTACTGCTATGAGAATATCAGTGGTAGAAAGTTACAGAAATCTTCTCTCTGCTCCACAAAGTATTTATTGTTGTTGTTATCAGTCGTCTTTCTGTTCAGTCTCCACTTGGAAACACTTGCAAAAAAAAGGTTCCCTTGAATGAAAAATAAATCAACACATGAAATGGGATGACTGATTAATTGACTCAGACAGGAGAGATGATCAGAGGTGCACAGTTTTTGCTATGAAAAAAACCAGGGTTGAAGTATGGGTAGAGGTTCTCAGTGAAGGAGCAGCCAGTAAAGGAGTAGATCAGAGCTGCAGCATCTACGTCATAAAAGGAGACCAGACCCTCCTCATAATCCACAAACACCCCCACCTTCTGAGGCTGAGACTTCAGAGAGAGACGGACTGGAGGATCATCAAGAGCTTTGTACTCATTTCCATTTCTCCATATAGACCAGTTACCGCACCGAGGGCTCAGTCGGATTCGTCCCTTCCTGTTAATCGACTCTCTGACCACTCCTAATTCCCATCCAGTCTTCCCTTTAACTTGAACCTCGTAGTAAAATGTTCCTGAAGAGAAACTCTGCTTTGCTAGGACGCAAACACAAACAGAAAATCTTTCTGGATTGTCTGGGAGATCCTTCTTTACCTTAACAGGACGTGCGTGTTTTTCATCAGGAGACAGGATGATTTCAGGATTTGCTGTGTCAGGATCAAAAGTGACCTCCACTGCATACCTCTGGACCCTCTTCAGCTCCGCCTCCTGCTGCTTCTTCATTACTAAACTTAGTGAGTCTTTCAACTCAGCCACAGCTCTCCTCACACTGCCCTCATATGATGGATGAAAGCTGACATTTGTCCAGTTCTTGGTGGGTGGTCGGTGTTGGATTTTTAGGGACTGGACACCTTGGAGAAAATTAAGGTGATCATCACAGTGTGATAGACGCTTTATCTCAGCGCTTCTCTTTTTCAGCTTAGAGATTTCTTGCTCTAGGTCTTTGATGAAAGTCTTGGCCTGTCCTTCTGTTGTTTTCTGCTTCATTCTAACCGTGTCAATAAGTTGGTTCAGTCCTCTCTCAACAGACTCCATCAGAGCAGTTAAGACTTGAACACCTTCTGTTATCTCTCTGTCTGCATCTTTTTCACTCAAGTCAACTGATTCTTTGAACTCCTTGATCTTCTTTCTTCTTGTATGGATCATCTGCTGAGATTCAGCATTTGCCTTCACCATCGCTGCCTTCTTTTCATCATATTCTTGTTTGAGAGGAACCACATCATGCATCTTGTGGTCTGAAACATGGCAGAGCATGCAGACACATGTCTGGTCGGTCTTACAGAACAACTCCAGAGGTTTATCGTGCTTCGGACACATCCTGTCTTCCAAGTTCTCCACAGGGTCGATCAGCTGATGTCTTTTCAGGCCTGACTTTGTCAGATGAGGCTCCAGGTGAGTCTCACAGTAGGAGGTCAGACACACCAGGCAGGACTTCAGGGCCTTCAGTTTGGTTTCAGTGCAGACGTCACAGGGAACTTCTCCTGGTTTGAAGACTTGATGCTCTGAGCTGCTGCTAGCTTCCTGTTTAGCTTCCTGTTTAGCTTCCTCTATGAACTGAGCAACCGTTTCAGAAAGTAAAGTGTTGACTCTCAAACCAGGTCTTATGGTAAACGCCTCCATACACATGGGACACTGGCACTTGTCACCTATATCCCAGTGTTCAGTAATACAGTCTTTGCAGAAATTGTGTCCACATGGTATAGTGACTGGAACAGTGAACAAATCCAGACAGAGGGAGCAGAGAAACTGATCTTCAGATAGCAGACAGCTAGCCATATCTGCACATTGAAAACAAAAGTAGACATAGATGTGTTATATACAGACATCTTGCTAATTGAATGCACATGTAGGAATTTTTTTACCACTTAAAATAAAAGCTAAAAAATCAGAAAACTATATTTAAAGAAGATTGGTGATTGGCTTTCCAGATACCTGAATAGATGAATAAGTGTAGTATTGAATCCAGTGTATTGAATCAGGGCATCCCCAACATCAGGGTATAATTATTTGAGTCTGACTCACACTGGTAGAGTTAATTTAAAAAAAATAGAAATTAACCGGCTGCTCAATTTTTAGCTGTTGCTTTGACCATTGCAATTTGAATGCCCTCCATGTTAACTCTTAAATTATTTATGTAAGTTAATGTGCATTGTGATTAAAATCAAACGATAGTATATGTAAGGGTTAATGTAATTGTAAATAATTGTCACTAAAAAGTTCATTAAGAACTCAGGAGTGAGCCGGTTTCAATTGCTGCCCATCAGCTGCAGAGAGTTAACTAATTAAAGGGGCGTGGCCCCACTGCTGTGACAACTCAGCAATCAGGACTGGTGTCCATTTTAGGCAGCACTTAGTCAGCACTTAGTCAGAAGACTGACAAAGACAAAGGAGTCCTGTTGGAGTCACGAGGGAGGCAAAGAGGCGGCAAATCCTACTTTTACTTTATCCTTTTTTACTTTTACTTATCGCTCATGTTTTTTGTTTTTTGTCCCCTCTTGCTAAGACGTGTATATTCTCCATTCCTGTTCATGTGTCCTCTCGCAATTATTACTGGCCCCGTGCATCTCGTAATCGTTTAAACCAGCCTGCTCTCGTCTATCCCACATGCTCCACTGAGATCCAACATCTAGTTACAGACGGCCTGTGGGACTGCCAGTCAGCTGTTCCTAAGGCTGACTTCATCTCTTGCTACGCCTCCCTGCAGTCTCTGGATTTCCTTGCTCTCACTGAGACCTGGATTACACCATCCAACACATCCACCCCAGCAGCTCTCTCCACAGCATATTCCTTCACCCATACACCCAGACCCACTGGCAGAGGAGGTGACACTGGTCTCCTGCTCTCTCCCAAATGGAGCTTTTCTCTCTACCAACTACCAAACTTCTCTCCTTCCACCTTTGAATTCCATGCCGTCACAGTAACCCATCCTATACAATTAACCACTGTTGTTCTCTACCGTCCACCAGGCGCCTTGGGGGACTTCTTGGAGGAATTAGATCATCTCCTCTCACACATCCCTGAAACTGGCCCTCCCACTGTACTTCTCGGAGACTTCAACCTCCAGACAGAAAAGATATCTGAACTAATATTTATTTTTAACCGCCTTTGCTTTCTCACTGTCTCCATCCCCACCAACTCATAAAGCTGGCAATGTCCTTGATCTCATATTCTCAAGGAACTACTTCTAACCTCTCTGTAAACCGGCTTTACACCTCGGATCTCTTTTTCATATCATACTCTACCCCTTTCCAAACATAACAAACTAATCTCTTCTAATTCTGCACCTGTCCGCCGTAACCTTCGTTCCCTCTCCCCCTCTACTCTTACCTCATCGGTGCTCTCAGCCCTCCCTTCCTCTGACTCGTTTCAACTCCTGCCTCCAAACTCTGCTGCAGAAACTTTCCTCTCTACTCTTTCATCCTCTCTGGACTGTCTCTGTCCTCTCACATCTCGGCAGACTCGTCAGTCCCCTCCTGCTCCCTGGCTGAATGACGCACTGCGTGCTAATAGAACCATTCTTACAGCAGCAGAGCGGAAATGGTGGAAATCCAAACACCCTGATAACCTCCTAACCTATCAGGCTCTCCTCTCCTCTTTCTCATCTTCGATCTCTCAGGCAAAAAGCACTTTCTTTCAAGATAAGATCCAATCTTCCTATTCCAATCCCAAAAAACTATTCTCTATCTTCTCCACCCTCTTTGACCCCCCCCCCCCCAGAGCCCCTTCCCCCTCCTCCCTTCTTCCAAGCGACTTTGTTAACTACTTTGAAAAAAAAGGTTGATGATATTCGCTCTTCTTTTTCCGACTCACCATTGCTCACTGCTGGGTCACCAGACCCACCGTTCACCCACACACTAACCTCCTTTTCCCCTCTCTCTCCAAGTGAGGTTCTTACCCTCATTACCTCTGCCCGTCCTACCACCTGTCCTCTGGACCCTATCCCCTCAAACCTCTTTCAGACTATCGCTCCTGATATTCTACCATTTCTCAACCATCTCATCAACACTTCTCTAACTTCTGGTCACTTTCCAAACAGTCTCAAGGAGGCAAGAGTAAACCCTCTCCTAAAGAAACCCACTCAACCCGTCCGATGTTATAAACTACAGGCCTGTCTCTCTCCTCCCATTCCTGTCTAAAACACTAGAACGCGCTGTCTTTAAACAACTCTCCTGTTATCTCCATCAGAACAACCTTCTTGATCCGCACCAGTCTGGTTTCAAGGCAGGTCACTCCACAGAAACTGCTCTCCTCGCTGTCTCTGAGGAACTGCACACGGCTAAAGCAGCCTCCCTCTCCTCTGTCATCATCCTGTTGGACCTGTCTGCTGCATTCGACACGGTGAATCATCAGATCCTGCATCACACTGTCCAAGAATTTGGAGTTTCAGGCTCTGCACTTTCCTTCCTCACCTCCTACCTCAAAGACCACACCTACAGGGTAACTTGGAAAGGGTCCGAGACCGACCCTTGGCAATTATCTACAGGGGTCCCTCAGGGCTCTGTCCTCGGTCCCCTCCTCTTCTCTCTGTACACAAACTCGCTCGGATCAGTCATTAGCCCGCATGGTTTTTCATACCACTGCTAAGCTGACGACACCCAATTAATTCTGTCCTTTCCCCGCTCAGAGACCCAGGTTGTCGAACACATCTCTGCTTGTCTAGCTGACATCTCTCAGTGGATGTCTGCTCACCACCTCAAGCTCAACC